TACTAAAATGTTAAGTGAGTGATGACCCAAGGCACCTACCTACTGTTTCTAGGTTGCGGGTTTGGTCTCACTCGAGCACAATCCCCACAGCTGCCGCTTCGTCATGATACCTTCATCTCCAACCCCTTCCCTCCTCCGCCTCCCACACCACGAGCTGCCCCCGCTTCAGCTTGGCCAGCTCCCCTACTTCAAGACCCCGGAGAGAACACTGGCACACATTTGCCGCCCTTCCCGCCCTTCTGGCACACGTGCCTTGGTCACCTCCAACCCCAGGCTCCCTCTGCTCGCTCACGGACGGACGGCTCCAGGGCCACACCCGTCAGGGCCCACTCGTCAACACGATCTGAGTGTGACTGGCCTCTCCTGCTCTGCCACAGTTCTATTCTTCACCCCATCCAATTTTCCAAAGCAGTCATTTTAAACCTTGTCCATTCTTTTTAAGTCTTCAATTCCACCTGGTTTCTCAGAAACTGACCATTTACGGAGGAGACCGAGGGCGTCTGTACTGAGCGTCTCCCGCTTCCCTCTGCTGAAATTGTGGTGCTGTGCCTTCTCTGAGCCGCCCTGTCTCGAATGAGGTCTCCTGCCACCTCCTGCATCTGCTCTGCAGCTTGCCCTGTCTCTGGAAGGACCCCGACTCGTGCTTACCTCACATGTTCACGACTGCCTTTTGCTATACAACTTCTCTTTTGTATACATTTGTAAAACCAGCAGTAAACAAACTATAGGTAGGCCCCACCCAAACACCTGTGCATTTCCTCTCCCCACCCCGACCTCCACCCTTCTTTCCTTCTTCTGAAATGCTCAAGTCCTCCCAACCACCAAACCGATGGCTTTTCTTCTTGGCTCTGTTGTGGCACCTCAGACTCAAGTCCATCAAAACTGAACTTCACACTTCTCTCCTCCATTCCTACCGCTGCCGAACGCTCTCCCATTTCCCCAGTTAAGCCAAGACCTCCTGGTCATCGCTGTCCCAGTTTAGTTGTCAAGCCCTTCCCTTCCCCTGTGGTCACGTCTGTCACTCGGTTCCTTCCTTGCCATTGCTGTGACAATGTCCTCATCTCAACCCAAATCAGCACACTGCACCAGCCTCCAGGCCTCCTCCTGCTAACACCCTTCCTACAGGGTGGCCTGTCTAACAAAGGAATTTTAAACACTCTAGCCTGAGCGTGAAGGCCCTCTCGGAGCCGGCTCCAGCCTATGACTCCAGGCTTTGCGATCTCCCCTTCTTCCATTTTACGTCACGTGTTTCACATTTCCTCTGAACTCTGGGAAAAGGCACAGTTTCCAGAACACATCCTGCATTTTCTTGCCCAAATGCCTACATGGAGCTGGTCCATCCGGTTGTAATGTTCAATATCATCTTTACTTACTGAAATCCTACTGTTTTCAGAAATGGATAAAGATACCATCTTTTCCTATCTCCTGTAAGCTGCAAGTTATTTGTTCCTTTTCTGAACTTCCACGTCTCTTCTTTTTCACTCTGATCAAATGTTCTTTTACATTATAGTTACTTGTGAGCTTGCCTTACTGTGCCTATTAGATTTTAAGTTCTTGGAGACAGTGATGATGATGGTGATGATAACTGTACTTAATAATCATCGCCACCACAATAAGCTCCTACCATATTCCAGCTCTGTGGAAAGCACATAACCTCATTACCTTAGCCACAGTACGAAGACCATCTCCACTTTCAGATGTGATTAAGTAATGTGCCAAGGCCAATATGTAGGAAGTGGTAGAGCCAGAATCCGAATTTAGGCTTGTCTGACTTTAAAAGCCACGTTGGTAACTACCATGTGGTATTTCTCACCATCCATAGACTCAAGAGACGACCACTGAACAAAACGTGCTCCTCCCTAAGTCCTAGCAGGCGCGACAGTTTACTGAGCCCGATTCTCCAGAGGTCCTAAGCCTGCCTGGTCTACATACACTACATACACCTACAAGGAGAAGAAACAGATGGCTTAGGCTCTAACTCTTAAGGGAGGATTTCAAAAACAGAACAAAGTTTATGTGCCTCAAGACTAAACAGAACAAAAAATGCAAAACGAGAGAAAAATCTAATTCACCTGGATTAGATAATAGCCTGACTTTGTCTCTTTCCTTGGAACCATCAATGCTGAGAAGGCTCTGAATCAAGGCCACTCCAAAAGCCCTATTTAGATAATTTAAACCACATTTAGACAGAGCCTCCAATAATTCTAGTTTCTGAGGCTCTGACATCAGCCCTGTGAAAACATGATAATTGTACCCTGCTGACACAGTCCGAATCAATGTAAATTTGGGTTCCTATTTTACATGTGAACAGGCATACAATATATGGTGCACACAGGTACCAATGTCAAGAAAGTGGGGGCTGTTGTCTCTCTAGGTAAGCGGCTAAGGGCTGTAATCCTCCGAGAGGAATGTCATTATACAGCTCAAATCCCATCACAACAAATACCTTTACAACAGAGATGTCTGTATAACAAAAACCCTTTCAAGCTTTGGCTGACAGCCCATGTACTTCAAGCAATATTTGATGTGAGACTTGGAGTTCTCAGTAATGGGAATTGACCTGTATTTCCAAAGGTAAGATTTGAATGATTTCATCTCTAACTCCTATCCCATGACACCATGAGTTGGAGTGATGTACAATCTAAACCCGTGAGTATAAAAACTAAACACAAAGACATGAAATCAACCCACGCTTAAAGGGCGAAAGTCCTTCCTTTCACTTGGGGAGCACTTAGGTCAAGGAGATGGCCTCTGACCCAAGCCCTGAAATACAGCAGACCAGGGCAGGTCTGCGGTTTCATCTCATGGAGAGGCAAAATGGCCCCACCCACGAAAACAGATGGAAGTGTGCAAATCTCTGCTCTGTCACTTACTAGTTGGGTACACAGGGCAACATTTCTTAACTTTCTCTGAGCCTCAGTTTCCTCATCTGTACAATGTGACCAACCCCACCTACCTCCCAGATTTTGGTAAGGAAGAAATGAGAATGTATTGTAAAGCTCCTAACGTGGCCTGGTACATACATAGCACATGCTCAAAAAGTCAGTTCCCTCCTTGGGCTTCCCTTCTCCTTCAAGACCCTACACTTCTGCAAACTATTTCCATCAAATTCGTTGTAAGACCTGGTGGATGGAAGTTAAAATGAATAGTCTCAAATATAGTCTGGTCAGGATGTTGCTCAGAGGAGTATCTGGGCAAAAGAGAAAATGGCAGAATAAGTAGGCCATGCACAAGTACTTTCTTGACTAGGAAAAAGGTCTTTTTGGCCAAGGTAAGACGTGTATCCTAAGCTAAAGCACAAGTAACCAGGCATCTTAACAATAGATGAGCAGTAATCATTTTGGCAGAGGTCATTTTGAAAAATGCTGACACAGGACAAACTGTGGCTATTGCTCTAAAGCGTAGTTTACTGCTCCTGGCCTAGTTTTCTGCAGGTGCCACTCTAGATGGTGGGAGAGGCCTTATTTGGTGATTTCGCAGCTCTAGTTCTGGACATTATACCACCTTTCCTCAATAGGACACTGTGAAAATTAATTATTAAAACCAACTCTGGTCTCCTCCATTTGGGAAACATGTAGGTAAACAGTTGCAGAACACATTCAGCGAAGGTTCTCAATACTGTTTCTACTTTGTGAAGTTTTCAATTCTACTGATTTTCAGATACCAAATTTTCTATTACTACTTCTCAAATTATGGGACAATCAAGTTTGTGGTAACAAAATTCTACGTTCATTTTTTAAACACCCTTGGTGTTATAGGGTATGTTTGGAAACCAGAGTTTGATGAACACAATCTGAAGCTAAACCTGCTCAACCTTTATAAAATAAGCATTGGCCACGGGCTTTCAAATTCCCCACAAGGCTCCCAAAAGAACTATCACCCCTTAGCAACCATAAGGAAAAAGAGATAGTCCAACATTTCTCCGAGTCACAGGATATCAGAGTCTTAAAGACATCTTAGTCCTATAATTTCACCTTGCCAGTCAGAAAAAGGTTCAGAGAAGAGTGTCAGTGTTCATGCGCCCAACTAAAGCTTATAAACAAGGCAAACAACGCTTTCAGGAGCTCTTATGAGAAGCAACGTAGAAATGAAATACCACACCAGACAGAAATACCAAGGCACGGAGAAATAGAAACCACGAGACTCACAGAAAGAGCCCTGAGCACAGAGACTGAGGGATCAAGAGCAGAGAAGGAGCAACATTACTAAAGCGAGAAGGTTAAAACCGTGACAGAGGCCAAGTGGTAACAGCAGAGGGGATATTTTAAATTCAGTCTGCACAGAGCTTACAAAGTAGGACTCCCAGACAGAAGCGCCCCCGGTACAAAGGTTTCTGGCCTCTCTTTTAATACCTTGCGCCCACCTCCCCATCACCGTCGTCCTAAAATGGAGGCAGAAACCAGCACCAGATCGTGCACTTGGGTCTCACCCCCACAAGGGCGTGAACCTCGAGCCTTTTTGAAGGTGTGCTAACTATCTCAGGCCACTAGGGCGCCACTCCCAGCTCCGAAAAGCACACTTCACTTCACGGTCCCCACCTCGCCCCCAAGAACGGGCGTCCCTCCTCGAGGCAAGCCCTTCCTTCCTTGCACCAGCAGCACCACACCAGCTGTGTATCGGGCACCGCAAGGTCCCCGCAGGCTACGGAAAAGCGAAATGCAATCGTAATGGCATGGGCGATCCCGGGCGGGCAGGGTAGGAAGAGTCAGATGCCAAGATGCAGGGCTGAGAAACACGCTTCCTCGAAGCAGCCACCCGCCCCGGGCGAGCCTGCGCTGCCTAGAAAGTGACCTCGCGGGAGCGATCACGCGCCTGGACAGAGGCTCGGCCGCGCCCGCCCTCGTCCCTCCTCCCTCCCGAGTCCAACCTGTGCCGGCGGGCGGGCGGGGGCGCGGGAGGAGCCGAGGGGAGCCCCCAGCACCGCCCGGGCCGCTGCCCTCCCTCCCGCACGCTCGGGCAGCCCCCGCCGCCGCCCCGCGGGCGACCCCCGCACCCCGTACCTTTGCTCTGGGGAGGGTTCTGACTCCGGTCCCGGAGGACGTTGATCTGGTAGACGGCTCCGTAAGGCTCAAAAAGTTCTTTCAGCTCCTTTTCCGACCACGACCGGGGTATCTGTCCGACGAACATCTTAATGGCATCTGGGTCTGGTTGGTCTGAGTGATCCAAAGCCCCGTTCATCTTGTTGGCTGTGCCGTTACTGTCAAAAACGGAACCGGGAGCCAGAGTTAGGGCTTCGAGGCGAGGGACAGGAAGAAAAAAATAGTGGGGGCGGGGGCGGGTGGGCAGGCGGAAGCAGGAGGAAGAGGAGCACGGGGAAAGTGCCTAATGAGACGGAGAATGTGATGAACTAAAACAAAGCGGAGGCACCATCGGGCTGCTCCCCGAGGCGGCGGCGAGGTCTCACTGCGCGCTGCCGTCCAGCGTCGCCGCCCGAGCCCGGGGCAGCGCCCCGCCGGCTGTCACCCGGGGCGTGCGCATCTCCCGCGGCTGCAAGTTAAGTGCGGGCGTAGCTCCGCAAGGCTGCCATCGCCGCCCCCCGCTATCAGCCCCGCGCTGGCGCTGGCGCTGGCTCGCGCCCGGGAAGAGAGGCAGAGCTGGGTTTCTGCCGGATTCCTCTCCCTCTCCCCCGGCCCCCGCCCCTTCTGGGAGGTTTTTTGGAAAGCGAGGAGAGAGGTGGTAATAATAAAGTCACATGGAAAGAAAATGAAACACTTGGCAGTCCGTCAGATGACTAATGCAAGATGCTGGTGATGAATTTGCAGAGCGCGCGAGGCATCCGTGTGTGCATCAAATTAGTACGTTGTTGCTGCTCGAGATGGAAAGCGGTCCAGCTCTGCAGCCCTGCGCCGCTGATTGGCTGCCCACGCTGGAGAAAAGGGCCAGAGCAGAGAGGGGGCTCCCCTTTAAAAAGCACATTGTTTATGGGACCCAGGCACAAAGGGTTGAATTCAGAGAAGCAGAGGAGATCTCAGAATTGCCTGCTTTGTGTCGGGAGATGGGTGGGGAGAGAAATGCAGCCCCAGAAAGTTGAGTTCCCACTAAAGGACACTGAATATTTCAAATCTTTCACACTCCATAAATTGCTCTCTGTGTATCTGACTTCCAGATGTTGCACTTGAGTTCTAAACAATCACACGTTTGGGATAGAAAAAAAAGAAAGTCTGCCTTTTCTTCTCTTAGCTTCAGTAAATATTTGGGGCCGATACAAACAGTACATCCATAAGCTTTTACATATCAGCCTTCCTTAACATTGTTTCCAAAACCCCCATTTGGAAGAGATGGAAGAGCAGGTTTTTAGAGTCTGCAATGCTAGTCACCATCATATAGTATGATGATGAAGACATTGCTTTTTTACTTGGGTCACCCCCCAACACTGGAGCTAGAGTAAATAGCAAAGCAAAACCACATACCCTCTTTGCCTGCCCCCCTCCAAATGCACCCTACACCCAGCTACTCTGCCAAGTGACAGGGCTGAATGCCTCTGAGCAGCATTCATCTGCAGCACTGAGCTGCTCAGCCTGTGGAAACAGAACACACCTAAACAAGTGCAGAGCCCTGTCCCTGAGCAGCCCCAACCCCAACCCCACGAAGCAGAAAAGTCACAAAGGCGACACACTGACTAAAGTAAACTGCAAACGGTAGGTGTGATTTCACTGCAGCCTTAGCAACAGAAGAGTAAGAAGACAGTCTGGAGGTTCCTTATTTGGTTAGAACAAATAATCAAAAAATACCAGAGCACTTTAAATCTGCCATGTGTCTAGGCTAGTCTTGACCCCTTAAAAATAAAAAAAGAAGACACTGATGGTTAAAAAGCCAAAAACCTATGGAAAGGAGCAATCCTGAATTAGACTTAATCTACAAAGAAAAATGATGTCAATCCTCCCCTCACTAGGTCCTGGCTTCATCCTCTTCTTTTTCCACTTTATGTTTTCACCCTTGAGATAAACAATCAGACCGTCTAACTTGAAGCACTTTCGGAGCCTGCTCTAATCAACCTTATTGTTATAAGAAATGCTCTGCTGAATAAAATATTGAGTACAAAATCTTCTTCCAACAATTTAGGTGTAATGTAATGCTTGTTTACATTAGAGCTAGATCGTTTATCTTGTTCTTATGTACCTATCCTCCTCCTTAAATCACTCTTGGAGGATTCAATAAACACTTTAACCGGGAGAAGCTGTGACCGCGGCAGGGTGGAGGTGGCAGAGCCCTGTGCGGTACGGGAGGCAGCGCTCACAGCAAGTCAAGAGCTGAGCATGTGGCAAGACTTATTTCTGGGACAGGAAGGCACTGCGGTTACTGCTGTTGACAACCAGCTAGAACGAGAAGAGGAAGGTACTGCCACAGGTCTCAGCTAACAGAAAACGGAAGTTCAAAAACGGGGGCTGTCACCTCTTGTCTTTACAGAGCACAATTTAACACAAAATGGAGGAGCTGGGTTGCAGAATACTAGTCCTAATGCTTTCGCTTTGAATTCTAGAGCAAGCATTTCTCAGTGTTTCTCCAGACAAGAAGCCACTTACACTTTCTCAAAAAATACAAACTCACCAAGATGCATAAAGGAAGGGAAGCTGGGGGGTTTGTTTCTTCTTTCTTTGTTTTTTGTTTGTGTGGGTGGGCACTTATTTTCAATCCTTTGCCGTCGGCCATCCTTACAGATGCCTGGGCACCTTTCTCCATCCTTAGGCAGCGTGGTGCGGCAGGCTCTGAGTCCTGGCGCCCCCGCTTCCTAACTGTGCTGCTCTGGGCCTCAGACCATCTGCAAAATGGGAACAACAGACTCCACCTCACAGAGTCATGTCCTTAGTGCAGCACACGGCACAGAACAAATGCTTGTGTCAGCTATTTCCACCGCTAATTCCTTCTTCGCATGTGTGATGCACTTGAAATGAGTGACCGTCACAAATCTACTTTTCAATTCAAAGTTTTGACGGTGTGGACTCAAACACAATTCATATTCTAAATAATAATGAATCCACATCTTTTAGTGAGCACTTATATACCAGATACTGTGCTAGGTGCTTTACATTTTTAGTCCTTATAATAATCTTATGAAAAAGTAGTATTTTTCGGATGCCAAATTCTAAGAAATAAGTTCCTTTCCTAAGACTACCAGCGTGTGAATTGTAGTGCTAGAATTCAAACCTCATTTAGGCTACTTTAAAACCCACAGTTTCTCAATAATCACAGAAGAGCGTCTGCACCGCCACAGACTTCCTTCTTCTCTACTCCCACCGTCAACGATGAGTGCCTCTCATCCACACCTATATCCTTGCTGACTACCTGCCATTTTGCAAGTAACTGTTGCAAAGATTTGCTTCAAGTGCTAAGGGCACAATGATCCCCTCCTTAATTAAATCCAGTGACATGTAACTGTCAAATTAGAAACAGCACACCCACCACACCCAATCAAAAGCTTCTACGCAAAATAGGTGGTCCTCGCCCACCAACCACCCCAGTGTTGCTGAAGCCCACTGAACCCTGCTGGTATTGCAACATCTTGGTTAACTCCACTTTAATCCTCCCAAGCTCCTCCTCCTTTGGACTTTCAACTTTCTCCCTGGCTGATGCTCATTTCTAGTGGAGACTCACTGTCTTCTTCTGTCCTCGTGGGGCTGCAGGCACTGACACATCTAAGCAAGCCAGAAATGATGTGTTCCGCACTTAAACCTTTGGGGGCCACGGAGAGCTGACGTGATCTTCATGGAGAAGTAATCCTGGGAAGAGATACCCCAGGTCTCAGCAAAACCCTCAGGAAGACCTCCCATTTGTGAAAATCTGATCCTGGGCTTCGAAAATTAGATTAGCTCGCTTCTCTTCGCTCCCTAGCCACCCTCAGCACCCAGGACAGTGCTGGAATTTACATTCAATTCATGTAATATTTATTGAAGGCCTACTCATTGCCAGAAACTTCTGCCAAGGACTTCACATACAACACGACCACAGGTCCAGTTGGAATCATCATCTCTGTTTTGGGGATGGAACAATTGAGAATTATAGCAGTAAAGTGACTTTTCCAATGTCTCACCCCTAAGAAAAGGCGCTACAGAACGTGGATACAGTGATACTTAAAGACCAACTGTCACTGCTTCATATTCCATGAGCTGGGATCCTCTAGGGTGGCATATCTCGTGGGCACAGTGACCACTTCCAGGCCCTGGACACAGGCATATACATCTCTGCTGGCAGCTCGCCTACAAACTGCAACGAGATCCTGAGTGCCAATTCTGCCTGTGCCCTTGGCAAGGGGCCACCTAGAAGGCTCCTCTAGGACAGATGCCACATGGAGTAAGACCACAAGTCAGAGAGCACTCCGCCAGCAGGCTCTGGGGGTGTTGGTCTCAGAGCCAAGAAGAAAATGTAATGACGTTAGGAAAAACAATGAGACTGCTTACTTTTTGCTTTTAGCCCAGGCACTGACCTACTTCCCTACTTTATTTTAGAGTAAAAAGAACTAGATCAACACAGTCTATGTAAAATCTTTGAGGTTCCTCTAAGCAGTAAATTATTACCAAAAAAAAAATTATATAGAATAATTGACTCAACAATTATGACTGTCACTACTGTTATTAATTCCAGGACAAGCAGCTTTTACAAGGCCCAGTGATTTGCAGGTTTCCATTTGGAGAATGGAAACAAAAGAATCGAGATTTCTATTCTTTCACCTTGTTCCGTGGATAACTTTCTGGGTTATACTTCCTTTGTCTATATAAAAGCAAGAACAACAAACTTACAAAATGGCTATGAGAAAGGCGAAGTGGCTATAAACAATTATATTAATTCTCAAAGAAAGACACAAAATGCCACCTTCAGAATACATATTCAACCAAACTGCATAAAAACATGCCTTGTCTGGGACAAACCTTGTCTAAAGATAGCTAATCTCCTGGAAGTTATTAATAATCTTATTACTCTGATATACGTTACTGCTCTTCTGTTCCTTGCAATAATCTACGTCAGTACTATCCAACTCTGTGCCATGATGAAAATGTTCTGTATCTGCTCAATCCAATATGGTAGCCACTAGCCACATGCGGCTACTGAGTAACTGCAATGTGGCTAATGAAATGGAGGAATTGAATTTTTAATTTTATTCATTTAAATAGTATGGATGGATGCAAATATACTTGTCCTTTTTCTGGTGTTTTTTTTCCCCACTGATTAGAGGTGAGATTTAATTAAATGTATTATTTCATGGGAAGTTTGTTTTGCAAACACAGAAAACGGCATGAGTGCTTGAGGTGCCCAACAGCAGGCC